CCCCAAAAAAAAAAAAAAAAAACTGACCTTTAGTTCCTTAGCCCGAAGACCTACACCCGAAACTTCAAACCTGAAGCTCCAGACCTAAACCCTAAACCCTAAACCCCTAAACCCTAAACCCCTAAACCCTAAACCCCAAACCCCCAAACCCCAAACCCTAAACCCCAAACCCTAAACCCCAAACCCCAAAGCCTAGCAAGAGCCATTTTGGCTCAAGCAGCTGCCTCGGCTCGAACATCGGAGGTTGTGGATTTGAGTCGGGCCATGGCTCCTAGCGGCATGTTGACGTGGTTCCACGACCAGGGCTATGGCTTCATTCAGCCCGACGATGGTGGCGCAGCAGTCCTCGCGTCTTTGTGGCAGTTTGACGGTACTCAAGCCAATCCTCAGCAGATCTACAACGGCGTGTGGACGCTGTTCGTCACGGATTTCCAATCGGGCTTGTATAGCACTTCTTGGGTGGACCTTGCAGTGCCAGTATGTGTGGTGGCCATGCGACCCGTCGCAGGCACCAAATGCCTGGCAAGACGTCCAGTCGCACGTCCACATTGATGAAGCGGGCCCGGAGGAGCGCGCAACGGTGTTCAGTTGGGGTCGGAGGGCTCGCGAAGAGCAGGAGCAGGCCCTGCGTGAGGCCGAAGAAGCCAAGCAGAAGGCCCGGGAAGAGCAGGAGCAGGCCCTTCAGGAGGCCGAAGAAGCCAAACAGAAGGTGGACGAAGAGGTGGCAAGCCAGAAGGAGGAGGAGAAAGAAGAGGCAGCTGACGAAGAGGTGGCAAGCCAGAAGGAGAAGTCCGCAACAGACGAGGCATCTGGATTTGGCGCCCTGCATCCTGGACAACCCTCATCGACCTTGACAGGCGAGAAATCGAGTTCTGTGGTCGAGAAAGCCACGGAAGAGTCGCGAGCATCCGCGTGGGGTTTGGAACCTGTAGCCGCACCCGCGGCAGCCCCATCAACAGATGAAGGCGGCCGGGATGACTTTGACTTTGAAGACTCCTGTCGCAAAGCACCGCAGCCTGTGGAAAACCTGCCAGAAGAGAAGACAGCAGGTCGATCACGACTTGGGCAACGTCGAGCTGGACGAGGCCGAGGCTTCCGAAACGGTCACCGAGCCAGCTGCAGCGGAGAAGTCTGCCAACGACCCAGGCGCACAAGGCTGTGATGATTTTGACTTCGAGATCGGCCAGGCTGCCCCTGTCAGCTCAGCTGAAGAGGTGGCAAGCCAGAAGGAGAAACCCGCAAAAAGACGAGGCATCTGGATTTGGCGCCCCGCATCCTGGACAACCCTCATCCACCTTGACAGGCGAGAAATCGAGCTCGGTCCATCTTTGTCGATTGTGCTTCCGCATATTAGAGTGTAGCCCGTGAGGTCCTGGCGACAAGCCCGGAGCAGCTCAGCAACGACCAATGGGGTTCAACAGCGGGCCGCCACTTTTTTCCAGGATGCCCCGAGCCAGCAGGCTTTCATCAATTTCCGGTCACATTCTACCGCCCAGGCCCTGAACGAGAACCCTGTTCTCGCGCAATTCTTGGCTAAGCAGTTCGACGGCACATGGTTCGTGTTGCGAACCGATACTAGTGTGACCATGCGGGCGGAGAGCACAGCCCCTGGATCCCCCATTGCCGACCTTCTCTTCGGCTTGGTATTCCAGCGGTTTCTTTACGCGGCACTCGCCGCTGCCCACTGCCAAGCCTTTGCTTCTGTCTGTGAGGAAGGCCAAAAAGACCTACCAGCCCCCACCTGGGCTGACGATGTCTACATCCTCTTCCAGACCGATACACCAGAGGAAGTCCACCATACCGTGTCCAACATCATGCAGGTGGTCGTCGCCACCATGCGTGCCCAAGGCCTTTCTGCCAATCTTGGCGTGGGCAAAACCGAGGCCATTATTGTTATGCACGGTGCGGGGTCCCAAGATGCACGGCGTGCACTCTTTTGTGCGGCCAATCCTTCCATCACTTTCCCTGGCCCTGCTGGCAATATGGAGGTAAGGCTCACACCCGAGTACACACATCTCGGTTGTACCCTGCGAGCCGACGGAAGCGAGCTCCCTTGCCTCCTGCACCGCGAAAGTCAGGCACTCCTGCTTTACCGTCCTTTACGGAAGCGCCTCCTCACCAACCCGTACGCGGAGAAGACGGACCTGGTCCGATCCCGCATTCTTCCAAGCTTTCTTCACGGTGCAGGAATGCTCACCCTCAGCAAGGTAAGAGACCGGGCCAAGTTTGAGGAGGTGATCTTCAAGATCTACCGCGGAGCTTTTCGGCCCATCCTTGGCGTCTCTAGCCAGGGGTATTCCAACGACGAAGTCATCGCTGCTCTTGGTTTCGCCACACCCGCCGGACTTTTGACTGTCGCCCGCGCTCGCACCCTTGCTGAACTCACCCGCGCGCGGCTCCTCCCTGTGCTCCGATGCTTGGAGGCTACAGCTGACTGGTGGCCAGAAGCCCTCCGTGTGGCAACCCAGGTCGGCATCCTCCCTGATTCTCGTGCCAATGCCGAGAACCTTCACACGGTCCTTCTTTCTGACACACGAGCCGTGTCCCGGCGGAGCCGCCAGTTTGTTCGCACATGCAAGGCGACCAGGACTTTCGACCGGAACACCCTGCAGCCTCGAGATCCACCTGAGTCCGTGCAGACGATAGCTGCGCAAGGCCCGGCCCTACCTGGGCTTGCGCCCTCTGCAGCAATGCCTATGCGACCTGCCGCCAGCTCGCCGTGCACAGGGCACGACACCACGGTGTCCGCACGGCGGCTGTTCGCTGTGCTTTCGGTACGAGCTGCCAGCGTTGTTTGAAGGAGTTCTGGAGCTTGCGACGGCTCACAGAGCATCTCGGAGCGATGCGATTTTGCTTGGCGCCCTTATGCTCGGATTGGTCCACCTTGCAGCCTCCTCTGGAGGCAGGTAATCCAGCATAAAGCCGGTGGCCTGAGAGGTATACCCAGCAAGCGGCATTTTTCCTCTCCCGCGACCGCATGCGAATTGACCGCGCACATCTGGCCAGGGTGCCCGCCAAAAAACCCCAAACCCCTAAACCCCAAACCCTAAACCCCAAACCCTAGCAAGAGTTCTTTGAAGCCTGGGATCCGAAGGTAAGAGCGGCTCGGTCGGGCTCCATCAGGGCCGTCATCGCTGCCTTGAGGTGGGGGTTCCTTTTAGGGGTTTATATAGGGGTTGAGGGTTTAGGGTTTAGGGTTTAGGGCTATCCCTTTGGGGGTTTATAAGTTAGCAATGACCATTTCCATTTTCTAACCATGCCCACCCCCCTAGGCCACCTGAAGACCCAAAACCATAACAACCTATACCTCAACCCTAACCTCACCAAAAGACACATAGGAAAAACCCATATAATAGAACCATTAGAAGAACCATAGGTAACCACATAGAAAAACCCACTCTAAACCTCATACACCAACACCCCCATAGAAAAACCCAT